GATAGAAATGATGCTGGAGAATGCATGATAGAATTCTGCAAAATCAATGATTTGTTCATTTCAAATATCTTCTTTAGACAGCATAAGAGAAGGTTATACACATGGACCTCACCAGATAGAATACATAGAAATCAAATTTACTACATCTGCAGAAAGAGATGATGGAAAAGCTCTATATCATCAATCAAAACAAGGCCAGGGACAGATTGTGGAACAGACCATTAATTGCTCATATGCAAACTAAAGCTGAAGCTGAAGAAAATGAAAACAAATCCACGAGAGCCAAAATATGACTTTGAATATATCCCACCTGAATTTAGAGATCATCTGAAGAACAGATTTGATACATTAAACACTGAAGTCCAAAGACCAGAGAGTTATGGGATGACATCAAGAATATCATACATGAAGACAGCAAAAAGTCATTAAGAAAACAAGAAAGAAGGAAAAGATCAAAATGTATATCAAAAGAAACACTGAAACTTGCTCTCCAGCATGGAGAAAACGGAAGAAATGAAAAAGTACACGAAATGGACAGAAAATTTCAAAGGTCAGCTCAAGAAGACAAAGTCAAATATTATAACAAAATATGCAAAGATCTGTAGTTAGAAAAGCAAAAGGAAAGAACATGCTCAGCATTTCTCAAGCTGGGAGAACTGAAGAAAAAATTCAAGCCTCGACTGGTTATTGAAGGATTCTCTGGGCAAATTATTGAATGATGCAGAAAACATCAAAATAAAATGGAAGGAATACACAGAGTCACTGTACCAAAAGGAACTGCTTGATGATCAAGAGTTTCAAGATAGCATATGATCAAGAGCCAGTGACAGTGAAGGAAGAAGTCCAAGGTGCATTGAAGGAATTGGCAAAGAACAAGGCACCAGGAATTGATGGGGAAAAAATTGAAAATTTTCAAGAAAGGTGGCACAGGAAACGCTCACTCATCTGTACCAAGAAATTTGGAAGACAACTATCTGGCCAACTGATTGGAAAAGATCTATATTTGTGCCCATTCCAAAGAGAGGTAGAGAGATAACCCAATGGAATATGGAACATCATTGGACAATCTCTTTGATATCCCATGCAAGTAAAGTTTTAGTAAAGATAATACAGAAATGACTGCAAGCATACATTGACAGAGAACTTGAGGTTCAAGCCAGATTCAGAAGAGTATGTGGAACGAGGGATATCATTGCTGATGTCCAATGGATCTTGGCTGAAAACAGAGAAAGATGTTTACCTGTGCCTTATTGACTATACAACGGTTTTCGATTGTGTGGATCATGACAAGCTATGGATAACATTGCAGACTATGAGTATTCTTGAACATTTAATTGTGCTCATGAGGAATCTGTACATGAACAAGAGGCAGTTGTTTGAACAGAACATGGGAACACTGAATGGTTTAAAATTAAGAAAGGTGTGCAACAGGCTTATATTGTTTTAACCATACTTATTCAACCTGTATGCTGAGCAGGTAATCTGAGAAGCTGAGTTATATGAAGAAAAACGTGGCATCAGGATTGGAGAAAGACTCATTAACAACCTGCGATATGCAAATGATACAACCTTGCTTGCTGAAAGTGAAGAGGACTTAAAATACTTACAGATGAAGATCAACAAGCACAGCCTTTGGTATGGATTACATCTCAATGTAAAGAAAACAAAAATCCTCACTACTGGACCAATAAACAATATTCTTGACGGAGCTAAGACTGAAGTTGTCAAGGACTTCATTCTTCGTGGATCAACTATCAACACTCATGGAAACAGCAGTCAAGAGATCAAATGCCATATTGCATTAGGCAAATCTGCTGCACAAGATCTTTTTAAAGTGTTCAAGAGCAAAGATGTCAGCTTGAGTACTAAGTTGCGCCCTATCCAAGCCATGGTATTTTCAATAACCTCACATGCATGTGAAAGCTGGACAGTGAGTAAAGTGGACTGTAGAAGAATTGATGCATTTGAGTTAGGGTGTTGGAGGAGAATACTGAAAGTGCATGGGCTGCCAAAAGAACCAAAAGATCTGTGTTGGAAGAAGAGCAGACAGAGTGCTCCTTAGAAGCCAAGA